CTTATACAATGTGGTAAGGCAAAAAAGTCTTATTTTGTGACATAGTTAGGCAACTGTATCTGCTAAAATGTTTTACATTGTCTCGTAAAAATCTTCTTCTCAATACTTCAATAAGAACAGCAATAAGTTCAACAATACAGATTCCTTTGAAGGAATCATACCTTTTGTACGCTGCAGCTTATAATAAGGCTGGTGATAAATGGCTCGTATGAACTATTTTGCTTTTTATTCCTGTCCTGAAAATGCACTACATTCTAAAAGGCCTTGCAAGGCTTGGTTCACCTGAAAGATAAGTAGTCACTTTTTGCCATCTGATCTATGATGTCGTGAGGTTTCTTCCTTAAAGAAATTAGAGTTATTTGTCAGCCTCATAACATAATTTAATTTGCTTGTTATTTCTGCCCATTTCTGCTGTAAGATATAAGGTGAAAAAGTCAAGAAAAGTGCATCTTTAAAATCTGTCAATTGTAAACTGGTAATGTTTAAATCCCGTCATCTCTTCAACCACACAGTTAATGTTTTGCATTTCTTTTCTGATTGAATTGTAGGCTTTTTTGCAGGTACACCTGACACTTTTTCACTTACCTCATTTGTAAAGATTATTGGTTAGGATGTGCAGCACTTTGGTGCATTAGCAGCTTCAGTCTTAAAAGTCACATTATAAAATAATAATAAAAATATTTTACTGGTATTTAACAAATGCAGCTGGAGCCGGTGCCACCTTTTAATTTCAGGTAGTTATTTTGCCTGCAATATCAAATGCTGTCAATAATGCAACATAAAAAATGAAACTAGGCTCCTTTTAAAAGCATTGAACATGTAGCATTCTATACTACAACAATGATGACCTATAAGTCAATACCTAGACAAGACTAAAATCTGCAGAATTTGGTTATAATTGATTGGAGATGTCTGGGTCGAACTTGTCTAAAAAGTCCTACGTCATCTGCAAAGAAATCGCATTTTCAGAAGATTACACACCACTTTCCCGCAAATGTACACCTGCTACGCTGTAGCGTTTTGTTCAGTTTTGCTTTTCATGCGCAGAGGAAATGCCTAGCACATTTACTAATATGCATGTAATAGAGCTTAACAAGAAGAGTCATTTTTGTAGTACATATATTATGGATTATTGTCTCCGGGTTAAATGCTCAAAGCTTGTGTTTCCAAGAGAGAGAGTTTCTCGTAAGCAGTCCACACACACACACACTTAACAAGTTTGTTAAACAAACAAGAGAGTTTTTTTACAAGTACATTATGGTGAGGGGACACGCTTAAAATTGGCCAAGTGTTCTTTTATAAGAAAATTACTTTGTATGGAATATTGGCTCTTTTCTGTGTCCAACATATTTATGTGTTATGTATTTGGTTTGCTTCACGGCTTAAATGTTGAACACTTAGAATCTGTTTTAATGTAAGCAGTACATAAAAACTTCAACACTTCTCTTTTAGATTTACAGTATGTAAAACTTTGTATTTTAGTAATCAGCATTTAAAGAAAAGTTAAAATGATGTACTAGCAACTACAGCATTGTTCAATAATCGTTATTATTTCACAGTGTTTAAGTTTTTAATGCAGAACTTTTACATAACAAAGCAAATATTTGTTTCCTGTTCACTCGTGCTTGTTCAATTATTTCTGCTGGGTTTGTTTCAACGTTATACATATCCATGTGTGCTACTGTATGTAGGCAGTGTACCCTTAGATTTTAGTGTCCTGGTTTGCTTAAATATGAATAGGAATACCTCTTTTTTAAATTTACCCTGTTAATGTTGAGTTATGGATAAGAAACCTCATTTTCTGACTCTTAAACAGGCTAGTTCTGGAGCACATTAAATTGGTGTTGCACATTAAATTACTGAAAGGCAGTTTATACTGTCAGGATATTTTTTGTTGTGTCAGAACATTCTCTAGGTTTATCTGTATGTGTGCACAAAAATTGACAATGCAAAAGGGAAAATATTTTAATATGAATTATTGACTGAAACCAGTAAGCTGATTTTATGTTTTCAATTATTTTCTTTTGAAAGAACTGGTGAAGAATATTTACTGATTGTTAATATTTAGAACTAGAAAGAAGGACATTTTGCAGTGAAAAAACAAAAAAAGAAATGCTTAATATTGAGCCAAAACAACAGTTCAAGTCCACATGTAATTTTTCTGGTCCAGTAAACAAATGCTGTATAAAGATCATGCATTTCCAAATCCAAAATATTACTTTAATCTGACGGTTACAGAGAACACATGAATGAAAACTAAAACTACTAGATGACACTGTCATAGCTAGAAAGCTACAAGAACAGTGCCCAATATAACTTGATTTGGTGATAAACACATCCTAAAAACAGGTTTAAACTGTAAATACTGTCATTGGGAAGTGCTTCAAAGCAAAATCAATTCAAGTGTTTGCAAATAGGAGTGCAGTGTTACTTAACTATTAATAATGTCTGTTTTTATTCTTGGCCTTACCAGTGCAGAGAAGCTCATTTTTGCTGTTCTAAAATTGTGGAAGTGTTTGTGAGACAATACTGTAAATTAATTTGTATTAGACATATTTATATAATTCATGGGTTTAAAATCACATTTGATTTGTGGATGTTTTCACATGATTTTTAAAAAATTGGGGGGCATTTGTATAATTTATTGAAATAATGTTTTGCTTTTGATTAAATATTTTTTTAAATAATCAGATATGTGTTAAGACTGTGTTAAGACCATTTTTGGAAGCTATGATTTTTGTGTAATGGCAGTTGTCTTGTCTAAACTCAAACTCCTTTAAAGCTTTGTCACAGTGAAAGCTCTGACCGAGTGCTTTTGATAAGCCTTCAGCACTCAGACATCTAGGAGCTTTCACACCCCAGGTATAAGCCCTGTATGATACATTATGGTACATGTCGTGGTCGTTTTATAATAATTTTATTTTTCTATGAATTATACACATATAGTTTTTGCAAAATAAATAAAACTTGAAATACTTAGTCGTGCCTGTTGAATCTAAAAGGTATGCTTAACACAGAAATACATACAAATATCCCACTCCATGTTTCTGAAAAAGATAATATAAAAATAATTTCTCAAATTCTATACCAGATTGTTTCCAAAATATACCCCATAATATGGAGATTTAAAATGTGAAATTATTTTATTGTGACTTTTGGTTTTCAAACCACATTTGATCAGCAGTAGTAGTATATGTTACCTCATCCCGGGCATTGCTTTATTTGGATTTTTAACAGAAATAGAGGTGTGCTGGGGTGTTTGTCAGAAGCAGACAGGTGATCCCGTTCAGTCCTGCTCTTTTTCTTACTTTTCTGGTTTCTTTTCTTTTTTTTTTTCGGTTCTGTGTGGCTCGTTTCTCTAAGTCAGTGCGGCGCAAATCCCAGCATGCACCTTCACCTGCCCCTTTGTCTTACTCCTGTACAGAAGAAGAATTAGTATCTCCAAATTCGCTCTCCTGAATTTCTGCACTTCAGCTGATTTTGAAAATTTAATTCTTGGGGATTTAAACCATTCTTTATTATATGCAATGCATTTTCTAAAATGAATTACCACCGACAGCGTGCTCAATCTCTTTTTATCTTAAGTTGCTTTAAGAAAAGAACAGTAATCAAAACCTTTTAACCTATTAGAGAGATGACTTTTACAATTGAATCAAAGGGACCACAGGTGTGATAACTAATCATTTCAGCACCGCCTTTCACTGTCTATTTTTCCTCTTTATTGATGTCAAATAGACATTATTTCATGTTCATTCCCCCCTTTAAAAGCATTCATCCATGCTTTCCACTTAAAATTAATGTTTTCAATGACATTAAAGGAATGTATTTTTTAATTCTTCCAAAAGCACATTAAAGTGGAAATTAAGGTTTGTCTTGTAGAAAAACTTTAAAAAATCAATGATCTCCAAGCACTTACAACCACAGGTATTCTAGTGCTATTTAATTTTCTAGTGCATTAACTTTTAAAGTCATTACAATGTTCTGTTTTATGATTTGATCATAGCACATCTTTAACCCAAGGAATTACTGAAGTTTTTAGCAAAGTATTCTTTAGATATTAGATACAGATGAGCACTTTAGCATTAAATTTAGATCTTCACTCCATTCACTTTGGCTCAAGAATTTATTTTAAAGATGGTAATAGCGACTTAAGCTGCAGACTCTCTTTGGTTAAGTACAGACTGATGTGCTAATTCTATAACTGCTCGTTTATTCGTTTGTGGCCTTTAGTGGGGAAATGGGAAAAGTGGGTCTCGTTCTTCCTGACGAGAATTTGATAAAAGTTGTTTTCTTCTTTCATCAACAAAAATTATCTTCTAAATAAGAGCTTCCTGAAATAAAAAAGAAGTGCTGTGTTTTCATTGCACATGCCCATTTCAAAGGTGTAAAATGTAATCCATTGTTTTATATTTTTCACTTGAGGTTTTAGCTGATATTTATTCCTTGAAAGTGTTTTAATGAACATTACATTAAAAAAAACTTTGAGAGATCTTGTTTTATTTCAAAACATTGAAAAGCAGGTTGCTAATGGGCAGCCTCATTCCTCCTTGAAAAACGAGGTTAATTTGAATGCCAAAACCAAATTGGCGTTTTGTAATTGTTGTGTTCATTTGGTACGTTTAAGAGAAAAACAGAAATTACAGGTGAATCCTGCCTTGTTGTTTTGTAGTCGATTCTTCAGCTTCCCGTGTTGTTGTGGCAGGTCCACCAAAAGGAACTGCTTCGAATTGGAGCCACTGCCTGCTCTCTGGCCACATCTGCTCGAGACTGGAATCAAGTGGGACAAGTTGTCCAAACACTAAAAGGGAAGCTAACTGACTAACAATGTGGTGTGGCTTTCCCATGTTAGAAAGTTACATGTACACACCTGTGACGTGTCTCACTCTTTGTTGTCCCCAGTTGAATACTATTAAGGCTTTGGAGTTCTTCCGGATTGGCGTTAGGAAATTATGCACGTCTTTCAATTGACCTTTTGTGCGTTTTGTTGTATTCTCTTGCAGATTGCTACAGCCATTAAGTTTTTACAGAACCAAAAAGTACGTCAAAGCCCCCTGGCCACAAGGAGAGCCTTCCTGAAGAAGAAAGGTAGGGTCCTGCAGAAACTCTTTAACGCATTTGCCCATTGACTGTTTCTATCAAGAGAGGACACAAAGGCACTTGTTTAAATTTGTTTTGCCTATTTTCTTTCCTTTGCATTTAACAAAAGACGTCTTTGTCTTCAGGGTTGGTGAATCTAAGGTTTAACTTAATCCTCGAGCCTTTGGTAGATAAGAAGTAAATGTGGTAGCTGGCTTATAATAGCTATACCAGGGGTTATGTTTTGAAACATTTTATTGCGCACAAAATCTTGAGATTTTCCTTTCAAGTGTATATGAAGAAATTTTTTAAAAAAGTGTCAAGTTTGGTTAAAAAAAAATTAAAGCAAGTCATAACACTTTGTTCTTTAGAATAATGTAACCAACGAAATATGTTGTGGCCAGGATAGATGAAATATATTTTGTTTGTAGGACTAGATCTACTGCTTGGACAGTTGTTGAATATCTTAAGTAATGTCTTGAGTAGTAAGCAGTAGCGTGTGTGACAGATGATTGGCTCAGAATTGATCGTGTTGTTCCACAAGCCCTGTGATGATTTGGGACAAAGTATCTAACATGCAGCTCTAGTCCAACTATTCACTCTCTCTGTCACCTTTTCTAGCCCTGAAACGAACAATCCGGTCCTGGAGTGTCCATTTCAGTGTTCTTTAACACATGAACATAGCCACGCCTGCATAGCAAAAGTTATCACTAAAATATTCAGATTGTGTTAGGCCTATTTTTATTACTAAACAAATTTAGTAATTATTATTGTGCAGTTTAATTAATAGTGTTACTGTATGTTTGGCAAATGTGACTCTTAAATTCCACCTTAGGTTTGGTTTAAGAGACATTTTAAAAGCTCTGCCCAGCATAGACATAGCATTTAAGAGGTGAGAACACGTGGATTTGAAAGGAAAAAGACAGCTAGTTGTATTTTAAAATTAATCTCAGAGCAGTAGTTGACAGAGAGCGTTTTCAGTCAGAAATCAGAAGTGGACTGCGATGTCAGCTGTTTATTAGAGCAGCCCTGCCTTTTGTCCCCCACAGGAAGTGGGAGCGACCAGTATGGTTTCTGTTAGCTTGCACGATCTGCTGATCCGTTCCGTGCAGCGCTGGTATCTTGTTTTTCGCCTCCGAGGCTGGAGCGGCTGTCGGTGTGCTTTGACACCGCCGTTATTTTGCCTAATTGAAATGAAGTGCTGGCAACTGCAACTGCACAGGCTCTGGCTGACGTGTCTTTGCAGATTTTTCCTTTTTATTGTGGAAACAGAAAAAGATCACCTGTGGGCTTCTGTTGCATTTGGCGACTTGAATATTTGCACTTGCCAAGATGAGATAGCCTGTGGCAACTTAGGGGGCTGCCTAATATCACTTCACATTAATCACTAGAACTTGACAGTGAAGAAGCTGTTTATAATTGATAGGACAAGACTCCATGGTAGTGTATCACTTTGTTGTGAGTACTAGAACAGAACAGATGACTTGCAGTAGGTAGAAAGCTTTGGATATACACATTGGGGGAATAAGTTGTATTATAGCCATAGGACTTAACCAAGTTGTTTTTAAAATGTTGAGTAGACCTCATGTATGCAGAATAGCACAATTGCCATTGAGATTTTGGTAGATCTTTTCAGACTTCTAATTGTTTTTTTGGAAACCTTCCTGTTAATGTTATTGGCCTCCCAGTCGAACAGAAGGGGTGGGGATTGACATTGGCGTTAGGTGTCCATCGTGCCGCCTGAGCGGTCACCTCCTGTTAAGGCCAGAGGTCAAGGCAAAGCTTCTCTGGCCTCTAAGGTCAGGTGGAGGTCAAGCTCAAAAGAGAGCCCCATGGACTGAGCGGGGCAGATGAATAACCAAACTGCTAGTTCACTTCGTTGGGATGCAGAAAATTAATATTGACAAATCCCCCTGCACTTTCAATGGAATTGTCAATTGTGTGTGCTCCCAGCATTTAAAGGCTTTTATTTATTTAACTTGCTGTCATAACCACGTGGCGTTAAAGCAGAAGGCAGCATTGAGCAGTGTAAAAAGATTTACTTCAGAAACAAAACACGTAAAATCTGCTTGCATGCAGATTGAATTGTTTCTGCATATTTAATGCTGTTGCTACACATACACGGTGTTTTGACCAAAAAAAATAAATTTGTCTTGTTTGCACTCTCTTCTGGATTTGTTTGCAAATGAAATTAATTTTTAATATCAATATAGATTCACACTTCCCTTTAACATCGTCAACCTCTGAGTGAGTTCCTGTTTTTATTCACTGCCTGTCAATGCAACTTAGTTTTCTGGTTGCTGCCACTAGCCCAGTAAACAGTTTAAAACTGGGCTCCACTAACATTTTTCATTGCCAGTCACTTGTTTTCTTCACTTGTGCCTTTTTAAACTGTGGGCGCATTGGATTTTCAAGTTTGAAAACTCATGTTATCCCAACTCATTAAACTCTGGGATGATAATGAATTCCCTCTCTAGGCACCAGATTTTGAAAACTGCTTATCAAATTGAAAAGAAAATGAGTATGAGTGGTGCTCTTTGTGCACCTTGCTTTGATGCACCTGTGCGCATCATGGTGCTGAAGGGGTTAAAATACTTGTAGATCACAGCCTGATGACAACAAGGTCCTTCTTTAAGCCTTTTCTTTTATTCAGTTAACAGTTGCTGTCCCGGTAAGTAGAATTTTTAATATTGTTCTTTAAGTTCCATTAAAACAAAGGAATGTAACCTATCTTAAGAGACACTTCAGCTGTGTGTCTGTTTAGCTTACATTAAGACCCACGCGGGTAGGGCTTTTTGAAAAATGTTGTGCTTTGTGTTTCAGACTTCCAACTCAGGCTGTACTACCACAGTATAGCAGTTATATGAAATATTTTTCTTTCAATTCTTTACTGAAAGAGTTGTGGACTATGGGGACTAATTAATCATAAAAGCTTTGGGATTTCAGCTCTATCATTGAAGCAATGAGGCAGTGAAAAGTGAGCCTAAAAGCAGAATGATTACCAGAGGTAACCTGAGACAAAATCTATTGTTGCCGGCTGCTATTCTATGCATCACTGGGCTATTATAACTCTGATGTCTTTTGAATTTTCCAAGATCAGTGTTTCTCATTATTCACAATTTAGGTTTATTCATAATTTAAGACTTCGCTCTACAAGAGTCACGTCAACCAAACAAACACTAAAACTGTTTGAAGACAAACATACAATTTTGCCAGCGAGCGTTTCACAAACAAAACCCAGTTAGTCACAGAATTAGATGTTAAGGTTGCAGTTTTTTAAAATTAAAGCCCCGAAAGAGAAAGATCTTTTTCAGTGTGTCAATAACAATGCTTGTACAAGTACATAAAATATTTATGCGCCTTCATATTGTGATCTTCTAGTCAGTTAAATGAGTTCAACAGCAAAGGAACCACTTTGACAAAATGACATGTTTTGCAGTGAAGTCTGAGTCAGCTGTGGTAATTGAAGACATTTTTTTCTTGCTAATAAACTGATATAAACACAGCTTTACCTTTTAACTTCAAAGGGCAGTTTTTAACGCGTAAGTCATCCTTTAAATTATTTGCTTAATTATTTTCAGATAAATTATTCAGTACTGTCTATTTTCGCTTAAGCCAATAGAGGTGACCAGTTATAACGGAAGTTCTGGACTCTGAATTGGACTTGGCGGATTTTCTTCTTGTGTGTTTTGTCTTAAATCTCAAACAATTTGACCCCCTCTCCCTCACATAGATATATTTAATCATATAACGGACACAGAGTTTAGCAGAATTTAGCTTTTTCGATGTTAACATTTTGTGAAATTTGCTGTGCTCCTGTTCACAACACCCGTACAGCACAGCCGTCAGATCCTGTGAGATTGCTTGCAGTGTGTTAAAAAATAAAGTATCTTAAACTTAGCACGTTAACAACCCTCAAACAACACTTTCTGTAGTGTTTGTTTTGTCATGGCTTGTAGGGAATTGGCTAGCATCCTCTCCGGTCCTGGTGCAAGCTTTAGGTGTACAGAAGTACAGAAGTTGGGGTCCCATCTTGGCCACACAAAGAGAGTGGCCCTTGCAGCACCCCTGGACAGGGGAAATACGGTATGCCCCTTGGAAAGACAAAAGCACCTCTAACTGCATCTGCTGTCCACCCAGTGTCTGTAAAGGTCCTGTCCTTGGAGGGGGTGGTGGCTATCTGTCGCCTCTCGGAACTGCACTTTGAATGGGTGGTCGGCCGGTTGCAGGGAGCGCACACACATCTACGCGGGGGGCAGAGGCCAGGTAACCTGGACTGCGATTCTTTGGGCTGTGTGAGGAAAACTCCTCACATACAGAGTGATGATGCAGCTCTCAGGTGGGAATCAAACCTGGGACTCGAGCGCTGTGAGGGATACCTTCCAAGTACAATATCCCAGTCCTGCCCACTACAGTCCCAGGACAATACCTATATCTTATGGTAGAAAAGGCACCTTAAGCCAAGAGTCATGTGTCTGTACCCTGTCAGCCAGCCTAAAAATAAAGGCAGAAAACTCTACTTTTGCAAATCCAAAGACTAATCCCAGATCTATTTTCATTTGTCTCCTTTTATGTGTTTAGTGTATTTGTTTAAGTCTTTTGTTAGAGTACTGGCATAAACGTAAAACCAGAGATTACTGAATTGTCACAGTTATAAGATTCAAGCATTACATTAGCTCCTTTTCAGTTCATTATTTCACTCTCAGATCTGGCGCTGCTCCAAGACAGTGTCGCTTCTTCTCCCCCTGTATTCAAACTTCCAAGCAAATGAAGTGTTTTCTCATTTTCAGCTGTTACTTGCTATTTTAGTACATTTTACCCAGCACTGAAGTAAGCTGTTGTTTTCATTATTTAATTAATATACATGCTCCCCTGCTAGATGTATCAGATGACACACAAAAGTATGTCAATTGTATTATTTTTTCACTCACACGGGAGTCTACTATCACAGTAGTACCTCAAGAGAAAACCACCTCTTAACAAAATTGAACAAGAATGTGTTGTTACAA